ATTTCGCTAAGCCAAGGTTGTTTGCGACCGAGGCGCTACAATTGATGCCATATTACACAACACTAACTCTAATGCCTCGGCCGCAAGCGACCTCGGCATTATAATTGATACCATGTTAGACAATACATACTCTAATGCCTCGGCCGCAGGCGACCTCGGCAGTACAATTGTTGCATATTACACAACACATACTCTAATGCCTCGGCCGCAAGCGACCTCGGCATTATAATTGATGCCATGTTAGACAACACATACTCTAATGCCTCGGCCGCAGGCGCCCTCGGCTTATTTAACGGGAAAAGTTTCACTAAGCCGAGGTTGCTTGCAACCGACGCCCTAGAATACGTATATGATGATCAATTTATGTCCAATTGTTGAGTTATTATTTCTTTGGAAATTTTATTTTTACATTTCCATTTGATAATACAAAAATATCGACCAAATTCGTGAAAGAATAAAGAACGAACATAAATAATTCATATCAGAAATTGCGTTACTATGTGTGTGTTGTATAATAAATGACATGAAAAAAAATTATCAGAACCGTAATAATTTAGATTTAGTCTAATTGCAGACCCCCAACCGGGCGATTTTTTACATAATTTCGTCACGCGTAAAACTGCACGGGGGTGGAAAAAAATACAAAAAAAAAATGTAGATTGTTTGCATATCGCGTGCGGAAAAGCCCCACGTTGCGTACGGGGTGGAAAATCGCGTGAAAAAGGAAAGCTCTCGCCGGATACAGAACCAGCGAAAAAGGCTTGCGTTTCCGGGTTTTATGTCCCCAATTGATGTTTTGTTGGCGATTTTTTGGACGGTGAACACGGATATCCTCCCTTAGCATTTTTTTCGAATTCAATAGAAAAATCGGTATGCGAACTGGAAGCTGACTCTCTATGTTGCACGTTTTGCGGTTGGAATGGTATTGTTCAGGGAAAAATCCAATAACGGTTCAGGTTTACTTTACAAATTGACTTTTAGTTAATTAATCCGAATAAATTTGAATGAACTTTTTAATTATAAATAACTTCTTATTTTCACTCTTTTGGTGCATTACTTTATGAGTTGATTATACATCAATATTGAATTAAATTGTGAAAATAGAGATTTTATTTTAAAAATTATTTTAACCAGAAAATAACCAAACTGTCATAACCTATATTTGAAGGGTTATTTTTTTATGGGTATTCATTTATTTACGTTTATCGAAATAGTCATTAACGCCAGTTTTCCATTTACGTTTCCAAAACCACGTAAATATTAAATTTACCTTTATTTGCTTTATTATCGTGGAATATCGATTTAAAATAATGTTTTTTTTATAATTAACTTTTGACGTTGTCACTTTAATTAATAATTATTTTAAAAATGAATCGTTGGTTTAAAATCGGTTTATTTTATTCAAATTATCCGTCGAAATTAAAAAAATCGAAAGCTAAGTTTAGAATATTAAATATTTTCAAATTAGCGTTTACCCAAAAATATTTAATTTACACGAATATAACTTTGGCTTCTTGTTTGGCATCGATTGGAGATGTTATCGAGCAAAAATACGAAACTACAATGGAAATTGATAAAGATTTTGATGTAAATCGCACTAAAAATATGGCTATTATTGGTGCGACTATGGGAAGTGTGAGCCATTTTTGGTACATCCTTTTAGACAAAATTTTTCCGGGAAATGCCCTAAAAATAATAATTTTTAAAATTATTTTCGACCAATTTTTTGGAATCCCGCTCGATATGACCGTGTTTTTCGGAACTTACGCTTTATTAAATCACATGAACTTGGAGGAATTCAAGAATTACGTTGAATTAAGAATGTGGCCGTTGTATTTCGCTGAAATAACGATCTGGCCTTCCGCTCAGTTTATTAACTTTTATTTTTTACCAAGAAAATATCGCGTTTTATACGACAACACGATTTGTCTTGGGTACGATGTGTTTATGTCGCGCTTAGCTAACAAAAAACCTAAAGAAAATCTCCAATAAAACGTCAAAACAACAAATTATCTTGTCATTAAAAAAATGTTTGTCGCTTTTACATATTTTAATCGCGAAAAGGAAATTATAATTTCAATCGATTTAAAATTAAAAATCGAATCATTTAAGTCCAAACACGATAGATTTATCTTAAATAACTTCGAAGATATAACAAAATTAAAAACACCAAAGATGGCGACTACTATCTGTCATTTTTGAGGTTATGTTTTATTAGTTTATCAAAAATATAGGTTGTTGGGTATCAAATTAAAGGATATTTCATTTTCTTTGCGAAACTTGACATATTTTTAGGTTATCCTTTAAAATTACGATTTTACGCTGTCAAAAAAGAAATTAAAATGAATCAATTACATTTTAAATCGATTTAAAATTAAAAATCGAATCATTTAAGTCCAAACACAACGGATTTATCTTAAATAGCTTCGAAGATATAACAAAATTAAAAACAACAAAGATGGCGACTACTATCTGTCATTTTTGAGGTTATCTTTTATTATTTTATCAAAAATGTAGGTTGTTGGGTATCAAATTAAGGGATATTTCATTTTCTTTACGAAACTTAACATATTTTTAGGTTATCCTTTAAAATTTCAATTTTACGCTGTCAAAAAAAAATTAAAATGAATCAATTACATTTTTAATCGATTTAATATTAAAAATCGAATCATTTAAGTCCAAACACGATGGATTTATCTTAAATAGCTTCGAAGATATAACAAAATTAAAAACAACAAAGATGGCGACTACTATCTGTCATATTTTGAGGTTATCTTTTATTATTATATCGAAAATATAGGTTGTTGGGTATCAAATTAAAGGATATTTCATTTTCTTTACGAAACTTAACATATTTTTAGGTTATCCTTTAAAATTTCGATTTTACACTTCGAAAAAAATTATTAAAATCAATCAATTATATTTTTAATCGATTTAAAATTAAAAATCAAATCATTTATGTCCAAACACAATGGATTTATCTTAAGTAGCTTCGAAGATATAACAAAATTAAAAACAACAAAGATGGCGGCTACTATCTGTCATTTTTGAGGTTGTGTTTTATTATTTTATCAAAAATGTAGGTTGTTGGGTATCAAATTAAAGGATATTTCATTTTCTTTGTGAAACTTAACATATTTTTCGGTTATCCTTTAAAATTTCGATTTTACGCTTCCAAAAAAAATTATTAAAATCAATTAATTACATTTTTAATCGTTTTAAAATTAAAAATCAAATCATTTAAGTCCAAACACAATGGATTTATCTTAAATAGCTTCGAAGATATAACAAAATTAAAAACAACAAAGATGGCGGCCACTATCTGTCATTTTTGAGGTTATCCATTATTATTTTATCAAAAATATAGGTTGTTGGGTATCAAATTAAAGGATATTTCATTTTCTTTGCGAAACTTAACATATTTTTAGGTTATCCTTTAAAATTTCGATTTTACGCTTCCAAAAAGATCATTAAAATCAATAAATTACATTTTTAATCAAATTAAAATTAAAAATCGAATCATTTAAGTCCAAACATAATGGATTTATCTTAAATAGCTTTGAAGATATAACAAAATTAAAAACAACAAAGATGGCGACTACCATCTGTCATTTTTTGAGGTTATCTTTTATTTTTTTATCGAAAATATAGGTTGTTGGGTATCAAATTAAAGGATATTTCATTTTCTTTGCGAAATTTAACATATTTTTATGTTATCCTTTAAAATTTCGATTTTACACCTCCAAAAAAAAAATAAAAATGAATCAATTATATTTTTAATCGATTTAAAATTAAAAATCGCATCATTGAAGTACGAACACAATGGATTTATCTTAAATAGCTTTGAAGATATAACAAAATTAAAAACAACAAAGATGGCGACTACCATCTGTCATTTTTTGAGGTTATCTCTTATTATTTTATTGAAAATATAGGTTGTTGGGTATCAAATTAAAGGATATTTCATTTTCTTTACGAAACTTAACATATTTTTAGGTTAACTTTTAAAATTTCGATTTTACGCTTCCAGAAAAATTATTAAAATTAATTAATTATATATTAATTAATTATATTTATTTTAATAATTATTAATTATTAAAATAAGTCAATAGATTTATCTTAAATAGCTTCGAAGATATAATAAAATTAAAAACATCAAAGGTGGCGACTACTATCTGTCATTTTTTGAGGTTATCTTTTATTATTATATCGAAAATATAGGTTGTTGGGTATCAAATTAAAGGATATTTCATTTCCTTCACGAAACTCTTCCTTTTAAAATTATTTTCGATAAATTTTTTTTCATCCCACTCAATATGATCGTAATGATATCGCGTTTTCCTTCAATAAAACGTCAAAACATCAAATTAACTTGTCATTAAAAAAATGTTCGCTGCATTTAGATATTTTAATCGCGAAAAGGAATCCAATGAAACCGAGTTTTTCAATCCAGATTGTTACATCAAAATATTATTAGATTATTTATCTCGAATAAGCGGATTCGATTTAACTGAAGATTTCGTTTTTTGCGATGAAGATGGTCTCATTTTCGAGGTTAAAAATCGAAAACCCAACATGTACGCAACGGAAATATTAAATCCGTTTAAAATTTACACTTTCGTCGCGTACGAAAAAGACGACGATTCGATTTATACAAATTTTAACCCGTTTTTGGGCCCCCAATCTAAAGAGTATTCCGATTTAAAGGGAAAATTAAAACAACACTTGATCAAACCCAAAAGAAAATCAACCAGTAAGTTGAAAATCAAAAAAATATCCAAACAAAGTACATCATTAATTGAAGAATCACAAAAAAGTTTAACCTCAAGAAGTGTTTTGAAACATAAAGGATAATTTTATTTATAGAATTTATTGTTTAATTATTATTAATAAAAGAATTTTTAGTTTTAAATCAATCTGGAATCTTGTTTTATGATGCATCTCGATTTCGTTTATTATAATAATATTTATTAAAAATCGAAAGAAAAATTTATTTGCAGAAATAATGTTAAAGAGATGAACAGGCTGCGAACGACATTTAAAAGATCGAGGACACCAACAGGCGCAGAAATGAAGACTCAAAGCAGCCTTGAAGTGCCCAAACAGGTCCGTTCGGCTTCTTTCGATGAGATCCAATTGGAGGCGAAACGTCAACAACAACAACAATCATCCGATTTGGGTCCAAATTCTCTCCTAAGAGTCCCTCAAACGCAACAAAGATCTCGAAGTGTCGATTCTGGTGGAAGTGAAGAATCCACAACAAATTTTTTGGAAGTCCCCAAACGGTTTCAACGGCGAAGATCTTCGACGAAAGTCAGTTGTGTCCATTGTGTTTGTCTCGAAGAGTACAATAAGCTTCACGCTGCGGATGAGATCCCACCGGAACCTCCGGATTATTACGCAAATTTTAGCGATACTTCATCGAGTGAACTAGAAATTGATGATGAAACATCTCAAGAACAATTTCATCATCGTAATCCCGGGTGTTCGATAACGGTAACTTTATCTCCAACCATTCCATCTCCACCAATTCAATCTCCACCTCCGATTCCAACCTCTCCAATTATCGAATATTTCCCAGCCGATGATATCACGCCGCCTCCGATAGTTGAAAGAAGAAAATCAATTCAACGCCAAGAAGCGTTTTTCGGAGATCCAACCGGAAATTCTTTAGAAAATGTCGAGAATTTATCGGAGGCTGCCTCGGATGGAACTTCCGAGGGTGCTTTATCCGAAGGTGATCACGTGACCATTCCCGGTTTGGTTGTTAGAGATATTTACCTTCAAGTTCCCGATTTAAAAAGGGACCGAGCCGCTTCCGTCGATTCGTGCTTTTCGAAAGTTTCGCAACAAAAAACTGAAGAGTTACAACATTCCGGAGTTAGTTTGGAAGTTCCAGTTGGACCAAATGTCGCGTTAAGATCAAGAAGTGTCGATATTGTATTGCCTACAAATGAACAAGCTAGGTACAAAGCTTTGGCGATGGCTGCGCCACCTCCAAATACTTCAGGACCGTACCCAAAAGGGTATGTTTTTCTCAATGTACAAAAATTTATATCTTGCATGGTGCATGTTGTAAAAATTGCTCAAATTTATTTTCTTTTCCTTCAAACTTTTAACCGATTTATCAAAATGATTAATTTTGATTGATGGGGTTATATTTTCGAGATGATCGGTTTGATGCTGTCAATGTGGAACTTTTAAAGCGTATCGAAACGGCTTTAACCGCTGAAACTCAAACCGGCTTCGTCGAGTTGATTTTATGCTGTTTAAAAAAGAGGTGAGATAAAACTTTTTTTTAAAACTATAAAAATTTTCAATGATAAAACAGATCGATCAAAAACGGTATCGCGTATTAAAATGGGGAAAGTCGTAAAAACCGCAAAAATTATCGCAGTCGTAAAGGTTGGAAGTACGAATAACGGCATAAATGGTATCTATAGGGTGGTCCATAAAATTTTTAATCGTTCATAACATTATTTATGATTAATATAATTTGCTGTCTAATTTTTCGTAGGTTAGAGTTTGTGTTATTAGGAATTTGTTTTGAAATTTAGATTTAAAACCAGGTGTGGTGTTACATTGAATGGGTGCGGATCGTCATTCATGCAAATAACAAAATCTATTTCGGTTTGGATCCGTTTAAATATCCTGCTGAAGAGTTTACTTGGGTTGGGTTGAAAATAGATCCGGGTCAGTAACGATTTGAACTAATTAATTCTTAGAAAACAATTTTTTTCTATTTTCTAACTGATTCTTATTGTGTTGGATGAACAGTTAAAATCCAATCATTAAGTCTAAACACGATGGGTTTATTGGAAATATTCTCCAAGTTATGTAGAGTTAAAAAATTAAAGATGGTGGCTAATAACTGTCATTTTTTGAGGTTATTTTTTGTTATTTTACTAAAAATATAGTTTGTTGGGTATCAAATCAACAGATATTTCATTATCTTTACGAAACTTCACATACTTTTAGGTTATTCAATTTTACGCTGTCAAAAAAAAAATTAAAATGAATCAATTACATTTTTAATCGATTTAAAATTAAAAACTGAATCATTTAAGTCCAAACACGGTGGATTTATCTTAAATAGCTTTGAAGATATAACAAAATTAAAACCAACAAAGATGGCGACTTCTATCTGTCATTTTTGAGGTTATCTTTTATTATTTTATCAAAAATATAGGTTGTTGGGTATCAAATTAAAGGATATTTCATTTTCTTTGCGAAACTTAACATATTTTTTGGTTATCCTTTAAAATTTTGATTTTAAGCTGTCAAAAAAAAAATTAAAATAAATCAATTACATTTTCAATCGATTTAAAATTAAAAATTGAATCATTTAAGTCCAAACACGGTGGATTTATCTTAAATAGCTTCGAAGGTATAACAAAATTAAAAGCAACAAAGATGGCGACTACTATCTGTCATTTTTGAGGTTATCTTTTATTATTTTATCGAAATTATAGGTTGTTGGGTATCAAATTAAATGATATTTCATTTTCTTTATGAACCTTAACATATTTTTAGGTTATCCTTTAAAATTTCGATTTTACGCTTGCAAAAAAATTATTAAAATGAATCAATTATATTTGTAATCGATTTAAAATGTAAAATCGAATCATTTAAATCCAAACACGATGGATTTATCTTAAATATCTTCGAAGATATAACAAAATTAAAAACAACAAAGATGGCGACTACTATCTGTCATTTTTGAGGTTATCTTTTATTATTTTATCAAAAATATAGGTTGTTGGGTATCAAATTAAAGGATATTTCATTTTCTTTACGAAACTTAACATATTTTTAGGTTATCCTTTAAAATTTCGATTTTACACTTCGAAAAAAATTATTAAAATAAATCAATTATATTTTTAATCGATTTAAAATTAAAAATCAAATCATTTAAGTCCAAACACGGTGGATTTATCTTAAATAGCTTCGAAGATATAACAAAATTAAAACCAACAAAGATGGCGCGTTCTATCTGTCATTTTTGAGGTTATCTTTTATTATTTTATCAAAAATATAGGTTGTTGGATATCAAAGTAAAGGATATTTCATTTTCTTTGCGAAACTTAACATATTTTTTGGTTATCCTTTAAAATTTTGATTTTACGCTGTCAAAAAACAAATTAAAATAAATCAATTAAATTTTCAATCGATTTAAAATTAAAAATCAAATCATTTAAGTCCAAACACGGTGGATTTATCTTAAATAGCTTCGAAGATATAACAAAATTAAAACCAACAAAGATGGCGACTTCTATCTGTCATTTTTGAGGTTATCTTTTATTATTTTATCAAAAATATAGGTTGTTGGGTATCAAATTAAAGGATATTTCATTTTCTTTGCGAAACTTAACATATTTTTTGGTTATCCTTTAAAATTTTGATTTTACGCTGTCAAAAAACAAATTAAAATAAATCAATTAAATTTTTAATCGATTTAAAATTAAAAATCAAATCATTTAAGTCCAAACACGGTGGATTTATCTTAAATAGCTTCGAAGATATAACAAAATTAAAACCAACAAAGATGGCGACTTCTATCTGTCATTTTTGAGGTTATCTTTTATTATTTTATCAAAAATATAAGTTGTTGGGTATTAAATTAAAGGATATTTCATTTTCTTTGCGAAACTTAACATATTTTTTGGTTATCCTTTAAAATTTTGATTTTATGCTGTCAAAAAAATTATTAAAATGAATCAATTATATTTGTAATCGATTTAAAATGTAAAATCGAATCATTTAAATCCAAACACGATGGATTTATCTTAAATATCTTCGAAGATATAACAAAATTAAAAACAACAAAGATGGCGACTACTATCTGTCATTTTTGAGGTTATCTTTTATTATTTTATCAAAAATATAGGTTGTTGGGTATCAAATTAAAGGATATTCCATTTTCTTTATGAACCTTAACATATTTTTAGGTTATCCTTTAATATTTCGATTTTACGCTACCAAAAAAATTATTAAAATTAATTAATTACACTTTAAACCGATTTAAAATTAAAAATCGAATCATTTAAGTCCAAACACGATGGATTTATCTAAATGGCTTCGAAAATACAACAAAAATGGCGGCTACTATCTGTCATTTTTGAGGTTATCTTTTATTTTTTAATCAAAAATATAGGTTGTTGGGTATCAAATTAAAGGATATTTCATTTTCTTTACGAAACTTAACATATTTTTAGGTTATTGGCGACTACTCTGCCAATTTTTAGGTTAAATTTTGTTATCTTGTCGAAAATTTCAGTTGATGTATATCAAATTAAAACTTTTTTAATTTTCTTTACGATTCTTTACAAATTTTTATGTAAACATAACAAAAGATTTTTACAAAGCTAATTATAATTTAAATAAAAATAGCCTTTCATTATTTTGTAACAAGACTAGGGAAAATAATTAACTACCTCAAGGGATGAAATGGGAAAAAGTTGGCAGAAGAAGGGGTTAAGTAGATTAAGTAGATCGCGCTGTAGAAATGGTAATAAACACCCTGCTGGTAATTTAAAGATTACCGGGTAGTCGACCGGGGAGGCGGTAAAAGGGGCGTAGCCTCGTTCGATAAGGGTTAATTGCCGTCTGACGGGCTGTGGGTGGTATAAAGTGTCCGAAGACCACCCGCGTTACTCTTGCATAACATGTAAATCGATCCAAAAACGACTATCACATTCACCCACCAACCCCTCAACGTTATAACGCCAGGGGGTCGAAGCTAATAAATTGTGCAATGTACTTTCTACAATGAACCTATACGAACTTTACAAAGTTGTTTACTTTTTAAATTTTCTTAACATTTTTAGCTCCACAAACAATAATACTTTTAACAATAGAGATGTCATCATAGTTTGTATCATTCTTTTAAATCATTCAATGAGGGGATCTCCCCTTTCCTTCTCTTTTGACACGTATCTCATCGAACGTCCGCATCGTTGACAAAAGGAGGATGTAGATACCGTTAAACGTTGGGGACACAAGAGAAGGGGGGCCCCACCGCGATTCGTTTTGTTGTTGCGTCGAAACTCAACCGGTTAAGTTTTAGTTGCGCGAGATTCATCGTAGGAAAACGTTTCCAATTTAAAGCGAGTCTTAACCGTTTAAAATGATTTACTTTTTGCGAATAATTAATTAAAATAATAATTTGATTAATTTTAAAAAAGATTCGTATTCTTGTGTTGAGTTAATTCGGTTCAAAGTGATACGGTTTGGCCAGATGGTGCAGATGGCATCTGTTAGTAGAAAAAGACAACTGGTTCGTAGGAGGGCCATTTACAAGTATAATAATTTTATAAAATATAGGTAAAAAACGAATTAGCAAAGGAACGTTTAATTGTGATGTTGGTGTTGTTTTTAAATGTGCTTAAGTAACACTTTAGGTCTTTGTTGATGGATTTTTGTATTTTAAAAGGAAGTTAAATGACGCTGTCGAAATACTTGGAGATTGGAAATTATGGGTATTTACTCAAATTTATGTTTATTGTAGATAGGGTCGAAATGTTTACTCGAATTGCAAATGTTGGTTTTTTTTTTAACTATTATTACATGATTGGGAATATATCGAAGGATAAATAAAAAAGGAAAAAAACTCATCAGCATTAAGTGAAATGCAAACATGCTGTTTAAATAGTGAGTAAATTAGCAGGAAATTGCGCGCTGATTTATGATAAATCAAAAAATGATAAAAAAATCTTAATTATAATGACATTTAAACGTCAATTTTTTTAATTTAGTTCTTTTAAAAGTTAGGTTTAGTTTGTGTCAATTTAATTTGACGTTTAAACGTCAATTTTTAATTTTGCTCTTTTAAAAGTGAGGTTAAGTCGTTTATTTGTATAGATTTATTTTGACGTTTTATTGTGGCCCCTTTAAGTGAGATTAAGTATTTATTTGCATAGATTTAATTTGAAGTTTTAACATCAATTTTTATTTTGGCTTCTTTAAAAGTGAGGTTAAGTTTGTGTCGATTTAATTTGACAATTAAACGTCAATTTTTAATATAACTCGTTTATTTTGTGTCGATTTCGTTTACAATAATTAAACATCAATTTTTAATTTGGCTCTTTTAAAAGTGAGGTTAAGTCGTTTATTTGTATAGATTTAATTTGACGTTTAAACGTCAATTTTTATTTTGGCTCCTTTAAAAGTGAGGTTAATTTTGTGTCGATTTCGTTTTACAATAATTAAACATCAATTTTTAATTTGGCTCTTTTAAAAGTGAGGTTAAGTTTGTGTCCATTTAATTTGACAATTAAATGTCAATTTTTAATTTATCTCGTTTAAAAGTGAGGTTAATTTTGTGTCGATTTCGTTTTACAATAATTAAACGTCAATTTTTAATTTAGCTCCTTTAAAAGTGAGGTTAAGTCGTTTATTTGTATAGATTTAATTTAACAATTAAACGTCAATTTTTATTTTAGGTCCTTTAAAAGTAAGGTTAAGTCGTTTATTTGTGTAGATTTGATTTGACGTAAACGTCATTTTTTATTTTGGCTCCTTTAAATGTGAGGTTAAGTTTGTGTCGATTTAATTTGACAATTAAACGTCAGTTTTGAAAATAGATTGTTTAAAATCGACAATGAAATGTCAATTTTTAATTTAGCTCGTTTAAAAGTGAGGTTAAGTCATTTATTTGTATAGATTTAATTGATGTTTAAACGTCAATTTTTATTTTGGCTCCTTTAAAAGTGGCGTTAAGTCGTTTATTTATATAAATTTAATTTGACGTTTAAACGTAATTTTTTATTTCAGCTTCTTTAAAAGTGAGGTTAAGTTTGTGTCGATTTAATTTGATAATTAAACGTCAATTTTTATTTTAGCTCCTTTAATAGTGATGTTAAGTCGTTTATTTGTATAGATTTGATTTGACGTTTAAACGTCATTTTTTATTTTGGCTCCTTTAAAAGTGAGGTTAATTTATTATTTCTTCTACTGGTAGGGTTTTGGAGTTCGAACCTTCATTCATATCATTTTCCAGTCACAAGGTCTCCATTAGTTCCACTTCCCATTACACGACATCTTCCTTCTTCAGCTCCATCGAATTGTCCCGTGGAAAAAGTAAGGTTAAGTTTGTGTTGAATTAATTTAACAATTAAACGTCAATTTTTATTTTAGGTCCTTTAAAAGTAAGGTTAAGTCGTTTATTTGTGTAGATTTGATTTGACGTTTAAACGTCATTTTTTATTTTGGCTCCTTTAAAAGTGAGGTTAAGTTTGTGTTGATTTAATTTGACAATTAAACGTCAATTTTTAATATAGCTCCTTTAAAAGTGAGGTTAATTTTGTGTCGATTTCGTTTTACAATAATTAAACATCAATGTTTAATTTAGCTCTTTTAAAAGTGAGGTTAAGTCGTTTATTTGTCTAGTTTTGATTTGACGTGTAAACGTCATTTTTTATTTCGGCTCCTTTAAAAGTGAGGTTAAGTTGGTGTCGATTTAATTTGACAATTAAATGTCAATTTTTAATTTAGCTCGTTTAAAAGTGAGGATAATTTTGTGTCGATTTCGTTTTACAATAATTAAACATCAATTTTTAATTTAGCTCTTTTAAAAGTGAGGTTAAGTCGTTTATTTGTATAGATTTAATTTGACGTTTAAACGTCATTTTTTATTTTGGCTCCTTTAAAAGTGAGGTTAAGTTTGTGTCGATTTAATTTGACAATTAAACGTCAATTTTTAAGGTTAATCGGTGAATTTGAATAAAAAGTGTTTCAAATGAAAGTGAATAAGGATTGCGGAAAGATGAATCAGGTTGTTTTATATCAATAACTTTTCTATTATTGTTATTTTTTTAAATAAACCGTTTCGAAAATACACAAATCTCGCTCGCGCCACCAACCGCAACGATTTCTACGTATAAATAAACATCCGTTCACGGTTCTAAATAACGATCAGTTTGTGAAAACAAACCCGGCGTTGGTCCCAAATATGACGAACGGTGTCAAGAGATCCTGTCAATAACCCATCGTCATTATGGTGATGGTTTGCGATAAAAAAATAATCAAACAAAAAAAAAGTGTTAAAAAATTTATCGATTTTCCCCACCCAAAAATTAACTGTGTAGGGTTTCGCGAGAGAGCTCGTGCTAATTAACAGTCATAATTACGGTGATTTATTATTTAATCGCTATTAAAATAATCTAACCGCGACGGTGGTTTTAACGGTATTAAATTAAAATATATAATATTGCGATTATTTATTAAATATTTAAAAAATATGTTTTATGAATTCCATCTAGTTTTTCCTGACGTCATAGTAACGCAAATACGAGTCGTTTTATCATTAAACGTACAGAACACGGTAAATCTATTGTTAAAGAAAGATAACACTTTTTTAACTAGATTTAGACATGGATTAAAAAATTAACATAACTTCTACAAAATAAACCAATACATCCCAAAAACGTTTGAAGACCAGCCATTAAAGTCATTGTTAAAAACAAGAAGAACTCAAAAATGGGCATCAGATCCAAAATAAGATGCCCTTGATGCTTGGACACAATCATTTTTAAGACTGAAGTTAATTCCATAAACTTCTGCACCGTTTTGAACCTTGAGATGGGACACAAAGGCAATTCAAGCTTACATGAAGCTTAATGAAGTTATACCAGGCCACAAAAACATTGTGATTAATGAAAAGGCGAACAAGCTGGCTGTGGACTACAAAAAAGCCACTTAAAACATGTGAATGTAATAAACCGGTGTATACGTGCTGGAATGAGATGAGAGTGTTGAGAGTAATAACAGAGATCAGAGAAGAATACCAAGTGGAAGATTTTGTCAATTTTTGAAAGATGTAATGACTCCGCATAATTGGGACGTCGTTTAATGAGACATCCCCTTAATCGGGACAAACTCATCATTTCTTTCTCACTCTAACTAATCATAATAACGTAGCCTTCCTTTTACTTATTGTTAGATTTAAAGAATGACTAAGTTTCTTAGGAAAATCACTGACTTAAACAAAATGAAAAAACGTATAAACGTATATATTAGTCGAAAACAAGCCGGTAAATCATACGTATAAACGCACGAGTCCTTTCGATGTATGTATATTTCATAAATTTCAATAAGCAAATGGTTCGAGGAATGGCGGTCTTAAATTGTTTACGGGCGTCATGATACCAACGCCGCCGCCACCGCCGCCGCCGCCACACCGGCCGGTTAGCGGATCGATTACGACGACGACGACGTGCGGCACGTGTTCGCATAAATAATTTGGCCGCGATTCAATCCCGTAATAATTCTATTTCTAAAACGTCCACTCGATTGTGTTGGCATTTTTGAAATGTGCACGTTTTCGGCTTTTTATTATTTCTGTTATGTTGGAACTATTGTTGTGGTAGAACTTTTATTAAAACTGAAAATTTAACTATAAACGTGCTTTGAAAAGCTTCCAAACTCTCCACCTACTTTAACTCCGTTTCTCGTTGTTGTACGCGTAAAATAACTTTTTAATTTGCTTTTGAGATTAAAGCGAATTTTTTTTTCGTCTTTTTTTCGCTTGGATTATTTAAATATTTATAAGATTGTTGTTTAACTGAAATTGTTTTTTCTTTCTTTTTAATTCAAATTTTATTTCATTTTTAGAAAGAGCCATACTGAAGGTGGGGAAAGGATTCTTAGATCAACACCCGATTGGGGGGACCAGGCTATTAATGGGGACCACCTCTGGATACCAACTTCGGTTTCTGGAGATTTTTGTTATGCCGGGGATACAGATTGTACCGTAAGTAACTAAAAAAATCAAATAATTACAGTTTTTGTTTACAACAAACATATTTCATTATTATAACCAAATCATTTCAATTAAGACTAATTAGATTATAAAATGATTAGTGACTAAAATCTTTTATACAATAGATATTTGTATGATAATGTTGCGATAAACCTAAACACCTCCTTTATTGACTTTTCCTATAAGCTACAACTTTAAATATAGTCAAATTTATAAAATATTGTAGTGACTAATGTTGTATGAGGAAGATCCAGTCATCCATTTCTAGTATTTCGTCTTCTCTCAGTACTATCTAGTCATTAATCTATAGTATCTAGTCTCCTGCTAGTGATATTTAGCAGTTAAGATTAGGTTTTTATCCATTTCACCTTTTTTGATTATAATATGATGGTGGTTGTTCCCGCTTTTGCTAACCAGTTTTAATGTGTCCTTACATTTACGTTTTCATTATTGTTCCCGTAAAACAAATTCATTCGAATATAATGTTTTTATACTTTGATTCATATACAAATTTGTGTTTAAATGTAACTTAGAAGTTTGCCACTTGACGTAGTCCAATTTTATTGAATAATTTTCTTAAAACTTTATTTTTAATCATATAAACTTATAACTTAATTATAATATGTTTTGTAACTAAACTAGTTTAGAGAAATGCCTAAAAAAATTGCCCAAAACAGATAACATTGCCTAAACATTATACAGGTGTTTCTGTAAGTCGTGGCATAAATTTAATTATAAATATTAGAGTCAAAATGATGTTTCGTGTAAAAATATTTGAAGAAAATTATCTAGAGTTTGATTTTGTACATTTTGACTTATTTTTGATTTTGTCGTTTTTCAACTGGTTTCTATTTTATACCTATAGAATTTAAGTTTAACTAGTTTCGGCCCTTGGCCACCTTCAGAGACTCTACAAATAGATTAACATCCCTCACCTTATCCATTTTACAAACAAGTTTCTTACTATTTTTTTTTTTTTGTTAAAAAAGATCACATATCAAAGTCGAAATCAGATTATTAGTTACTAATTTACAAAATTTAAGTTTAAAAACTTGTAACATGAAATTAAGGACGAAATGTTACAAATTTACAGGTTAAAATTTAAGAACGCTCTTTTTTAACAAAAGAAATATTAAGAAATTTGGGAAAAATTCAAGAATCATCATGTGGCTTAAAAATCGACGATTTTTTTAATCAATATGAAATGACCCAAAAAATACATTAAAAATAAAAAGAAAGTGCTGAAAAGTGACTAACACACTAGATTAACTTCAGTTATAAACCTTCTATTATATGATAACTAACTTCAGGTTTAAAATGTCAACCTCAATTTTGACATATTTGTAGTCTTCATTAAAAATCCTTTAAAATGAGTACAAACACGACATATTTATCTTCAATATTAATGGAGTTATGGTCAACTTCCGGTTAAGAATGTCAACGTCAATTTTGACATATTTGAAATCGTCGTGAAAAATCCTTTAAAATGAGTCCAAACATGATACGTTTAATTCCAATATTACTCCAGATATAAGCAACTTCCGGTTTGAAATGTCAATATCATTTTGACATATTCTTAATTTATCTAGAACCTTTATAAAATTTATGTTGTTTTCCTGATTTTTAGTAACATTACCAGTAACTAAATAGTTGAGGTTAAAATACTAATAAATTTTTAGATAAATACGATTTTAACGAAGTACATATTTGTTGTAAAAACGTGCTACAAAGTAATTAAATAGAACAAAACATCTTTTCTAGGTAAATAAATGGCAAATAAACACCCCACAACATTTTTTATGCACCTTTCCTTTTTGAATAACGAAAGCTCAAACGTCACTGTGACATATCTATTTCAAAACATGATAAAACAAAATTCCCTGTTAATTTTGCCAATTTTACAATAATTTGACAGGTATTATAGAAAAAAAATGAACTATGCTATCTTCATTGTTGCTAACTTCGGGTTTAACGTTTTTTAATAGGAAATGGGTTTTCATCCATATTGATATATTATATGTGTTTTTTAAAACTAAACAATGTTTATACTCCAATATATTTTATAAATTTATTAACTCTACCGGTTTCGGCCTAGACCATCGTCAGGAGTCTCGTTGTATAAGATTGAGGTTAGGAACCACTTTCAAATTTACAGTCAATTACATTCAAATTTTTATTTATCATTAATGGAGTAAACTTAGAAAACGAAAATAGAGATGTAGCAGATGTGTCAAGTGAAACATATAATGTCGGGTATATAGACATATTAATGTATTTTATTCTAACTTTTTTGTTTTCTAAAATAAGTGCGTCTTGTTTAGACTCAATTTAAAGTTTTTTTTAATAAAGAATACATCATGAAATAACACCATGAAGTTGTTCATTTGTCTATTATATGATAACTAACTTCAGGTTTAAAATGTCAACCTCAATTTTGACATATTTGTAATCTTCATTAAAAATCCTTTAAAATGAGTCCAAACATGATACGTTTAATTCCAATATTACTCCAGATATAAGCAACTTCCGGTTTGAAATGTCAATGTCATTTTGACATATTCTTAATTTTTATAAAATGTCTTAATATGTGTCACAAAAACAAAAATATAATAAAAAAAATCAAAAATTAAGGTTGGTATTAATATTTAAAAATTAAATTGCTATCTTCATTGTTGCTAATTTCGGGTTTAATGTTTTTATTCTAACTTTCTTGTTTTTTGAGATAAATGCGTCATGTTTGGACACATTTTAAAGGTTTTTTAATGAAGATGACAAATATGTCAAAATTGACGTTGACGTTTCAAACCGGAAGTGATCGTATTTCCATTAATATCAAAGTTAAATGTGCCGAGTTTGGACTCATTTTAAAGGTTTTTTTATGAAGATGACAAATATGTCAAAATTAAAAGTTGAAAGTTCGAACTTTTTGGTTTTATGAGACAAATGCGTCATGTTTGGACTCATTTTAAAGGTTATTTTATGAAGATAGACTTAAATTCTATATAAATTAAAAGCATGCAGTATCTCGTCTTCTGTCATGAGTATCAAGTCCTTTGAAAGAAGAACGTAGTATCTTAATAGTAGGGGCCAACCTTAATAGTAGGTTGGGTTGGCTACTGGTTATTTATTTATTTGCCATGTTTATATGGAAATTAAACATCCGTTTAATGCCTAAATATTGTTTTTTTAACTTGATTTTGCTAAAATATTTTTTTAATGCTTTATTTTTTGTATAAAATGGTTGAAAACGATATTGGAAACAAAGAACAAATTAGGGTGTTGGGAAAAAAAATGTGGTTGAAAAACCTTTGAAATAAACACGGTGTCATACGTCATTATTTCTGTCATAACGGAGAATAATGGGGGGCCTCGCGTCGTTTGTTATCCCCAGTTGGGGCTCGTGGTGTTACATTTCAACAAAAAAAAAAATAATCCACCAGGTACGATTTTCAAAACGACCCCTGGTTTTATCTCGAATGACCCTTTCAATTCATTTCTCTAAATATAGGTTGTTTTTCAGTAATGAAAGGTTCTTTTCAAAAAAAAATTATGTGGTTTCGATTAAATTAAGTGTAAAATAATCTATATCTGTGAATAGTTATGTTAAGACTACAATTTTTTTTTAATTAAAAATAAATTTTCCCTCGAATACCAACCCATCCGTTATTGCACGCTCGAAGTTGGGAAAACAACACTACTAAAACCGTCCCGTTCGTTCCCGTTTAATTGGAATTCTTGAATAATAACTGCCTCTTTCTTTCCCTGTTATCTCAATTTTCCACCCTCGTTTTTTTTATCCTCATCACACTTCAAAAAAAAAAAAAAAATGAAAAAATGGAAATTGTTCTTCCTAACCAAGCGCAACAAAAACAATTTCTCAATTTTCAAAGTCTCCTCCAGATACAAATTTATTCCAACATAGTTTTACTTCTTATTGTTTCCCTTTGTTATAGTTTTAACACTTTTTTTTATTTGTGTAGAAACACGGACCCAGACTGAAATGTTCTGCTTGCAATGTAATCGCCCACCAGGGATGCATCAACATTCTCGTCGATCGCGTGAAATTTACATGTAAACCTACTTTTCGAGATGTTGGGGTCCGTCAATACCGAGAACAAACCTGTATACATCATCACTGGGTACATAGAAGATCGGAAAAAGGGAAATGTAGGCAGTGTGGAAAGGTAAACATAAAAACTAAGCTTAAATTGTTCGATTGAAAGGTACTAAATTGACCTAATTACCACACAATGTTTCTGACATTTGATTGGCATGTTAATAATTAACTACAATTTACGATTTGTGTTTAATATCGGGTCGATTAAAATTAGATCAAATGTCTAAATACCTATGTGATTAATTTCTGTTGTATTATTTTGCAGTCATTCCAATCGAAATTATCGTTCAGTAGCAAAGAAATCGTCGCGTTGAGTTGTTCGTGGTGTAAAGTAGCTTATCATAATAAAGAGAGCTGCTTCAACATACAAAGAATCGGGGAAGAATGTAAATTGGGCGTACACAACAGTATTATAGTTCCACCATCGTGGATCATTAAATTACCGAAAAAAGGTAGTTTTAAATCCAGTTTAAGGAAAAGTCCGAAAAAGAGGACGTCAACTAAAAAGAAATCAAAAGAAAAAGTAAGTTAATAAATTGAAGTAACATTATACTCTATTTTTTAATTCGGAAGAGTGTTTTCAAATTGAAAGGTTGCTATTGATCAGTTTTAAGCAAAAATTACACTAGGAAAATTCAAGATGTTGCCGGCTGCTTAGAAAGCTTCGGATTTAGCCGTGCGTCTTAAGAAAAAAAAAAGTTTAACATTCTAACATGATAAACTTTTCGTAATTTTCTTAATCTATCTTAAAAAACAGGATTTTTATTTTGATTATTCGTTTATTAAATTCGTTATTGTTTTCTGATTACAAATATATGGGGTTAGATAGGTCCATTTCTTATTGTTTTAGAATAAAGCTAAAAATAAGCTTTTTTTTAGTGTCGTCAAAAAAAAATTAAATTTACAGTTCCCTGTAAATTATGGTACTATAACTAAAAATTATTATTCTACTAAAAATTTATATAAAATTTACTTTATTTTCTAACATGTTAAACTTTTCGTAATTTTCTTAATCCATCTTAAAAAACAGGATTTTTAATTTGACACTTCAGAAAATTTTTGAATACAAACAAATGTTGCTATATTTATTTGAATTAAAAAATAAAAAATGTGAAATAATGTGAAACAACTTTTGTGTAAAACAAATATAAATTAAATAGTTCAACAAATGTATTTGCTTCAAATATCAGAAATATGTTTTTTTTAATTTTNACATCAACACAGAAAAGTATTTAAGTTTCGAATTACATATGTACTTCAAATCGAATAAAAGTATATTAAAAAACTAGTTTCGTTAGACACGCTTGAAATGCACAAATTCAAGTCTAAAAACGAGTGGCGAAGCAACCAGTTTTTTTAATGAATAAGTGCTTTAGGGTATATGTGACACCAGCTGAAAAATTATAAATATAGTAGAAACCACGAGAGCTGGCAGTGACAGACTGCCAGCTGAGAGCTGACAGATTATTTCACCACATACATTTAAATGTATATAGGTGATGTTAATAATGGAGGTTATATGTCAAACATTGTCAAAGATATTATTTAATGATTTTCCTTTCAAAGAAAACATTTTCGGCTTGTTAAAACATTGGGCGCGTTCACCAGAGAATTCCGTTTACGTTGGCAAACGCAAACGGGTTACGATTGCGTTGGTGATTTGGTGAACGTCCAATTTTTCTATAGACATATGGTTTGATAACAACAGATGGCGCTTTAATGACAATTATTTACAATTTTAATTAATTTATAGGTACATACCTATCAATTTATCATGAATTTCTTCATTTTCAAAGATAGTATACACTAACCCATTAAATAAATAATTTCGGGCTTCTGCCATTCTTTTTTGTTGATTTTAAATTTAAGATGACACAAACACCAAACATCGTTTACGTTTGCTAACGGAAAAATCATACGATTGATAAAATGGCGGCCGTTTACCAAACACGTTTGAAGTTAGCGTTGCGTTCACCAGAAATGTTGCCAACAGTTTGCTCTCTGTTTGCAAACGTTGACAGTTGGTGAACGCGCCCAATGTAGTTATGATGAACTTCCGGTCAGAAATGTCAACCTCAATTTTGACATATTTGTAATCACCGTGAAAAATCCTCTAAAATGAGCTCAAACATGATACGTTCCGGAAACTTCCGGTTTGAAATGTCAACGTCATTTTGACAAGTTTCGGGTTTAGCCGTGCATCTGAAGAGGTTTTAGTGTAATGCCAAATTATATTGACATATTGCATTTTATTTGGGACAAAGTAAGTATAGTGTGTTACTTAATTATCGTACCCGACGTCATCATTGCAAGTATGCAACCAATACCAACAACTCGCGATTTGCGTATTTGATTGCATACTTGCAATGATTTTTGCTTTGGTTTTTATTATGTTTAAACAAATAAGTAATTAAATTCGTAACTACAATTTACTTAAAATCCTCTCGGGTTTTAAAACTCCCGCCAAAAATAGCTTTCAAAAATTATACTGTGTAAACGTGACTTTTCATTTTACTCCTCCGAATTAAAAACTAGAGTATTAGAAACATTCGAATGTTTCTAGTTGTAGTTAATTTGTGTTTGAACATTCTCAGTTTCATTATTAATCATAAACGCCATATTATTATACTCCTGTAACGATACATGACCATCATGGTTTGGATCAACAACATCTAAAATTATCAAATTCCGGATAAATCATAACCCATCGCTCTCAACCAACTCTTAAATATCTTGATGAAAATTACGGGATTTCTCTTTATCGACATGTTTAAACATCACCGAAAAGTCTTTAAGAGTATCTTCACTAACACCCGATTGATGATTACACGCTTGTATTTGTTGCTTCAAATTATGTTGCAATCTCATTCCCTCTGATTTCCTAAAATAGCCCCAAGATCCTCGATTTTCTTTAAATCAGCGCGTCGACCTCGAACTTCAAGTGCTTTACGTTTAGTTGTTGTTCTAACGAACCTGATTTTTCCTAAGTGATTTTCCGAGTGCTAAATTAAGTAATTTTGAATTACATTAAAATTGTTAATTTTAGTTAAAAAAATTAATTTCAAAAAAAGTGAGGTTATGATTATATTTGTTGACATTTAATGCAAACCAAGTAAATATATTTTCCCCTAAAAATTTTATGTTGGTAACGATTAAATGTCAAAAATTAATATGTCAATTTTTAAAACATTTTAACTAAAGTTTAAAGCTAAAAAAAAAGAATTTTAAACTGTAATTAATAATTCTAGTTTTAGTTATTATAAATTAATTAATTTAATTTTTTTTTCTTTAGGAAAAGGACCAAAAAACATTTGTGATAAAACCAATCCCAACAACAACGGTAACACCAGTCATAGTTTTTATAAATCCAAAATCGGGAGGTAATCAAGGTGTAAAACTTCTTCAAAAATTCCAATGGCTGCTAAATCCACGACAAGTTTTTGATTTAACTCAAGGTGGTCCGAAAGCGGGTGTAGAACTCTTTAAAAAAGTACCAAATTTGCGAATATTAGCATGCGGCGGTGATGGAACCGTCGGTTGGATCTTGAGCGTGTTCGATCAAATCGGAATCTCACCACCACCGGCAGTCGGGGTTTTACCGCTAGGAACCGGAAACGATTTAGCTCGAGCTTTGGGTTGGGGCGGTGGCTACACAGACGAACCCATCTCGAAGATTTTAAGCAATATTAGCGCATCCGAAACGGTTTCGTTGGATCGATGGTCGCTCGAAGTTCAAAAGAACCCAAATTGCGATGCGAATGAGGGTGGAAAAGAAAATTTACCGTTAAACGTTGTTAATAATTATTATTCGTTGGGAGTCGATGCTCACATCGCTTTGGAATTTCACGAAGCTAGAGGTAAGATTCGTTATTTAATATTTTCGGTTTTTTTTAAACAAATTCTTTTAGAGGCTCACCCAGAAAAATTTAATTCCCGATTAAGGAATAAAATGTTTTACGGACAAATGGGCGGGAAAGATTTATTAAAAAGGAAATGGAAAGGTTTAGCGGAATTTGTTACATTAGAATGTGATGGAAAGGATTTAACCCCAAAATTGAAGGAATTAAAAGTTCACGCTATCGTTTTTTTAAACATTCCAAGGTATGTTTTATAATTATAATTATTATTTCAATACAGTAAAAACTTGATATAATGGACAAAAACATTTTTAAGTCATACATGTTAGATAATTATAGTTAAAATCCATTATACCAGTTGTTTGATTCGTGAGAAGGTAATTAAAAAATTTTATATTCTTAGTATTGTACTTTTGAAACTGGTTTTATTATTTATTTAATTACCAGAACTACTCGACACGTTAAAAAAGAACGTTCTTTTTAACATGTCGATCTGTTGTTTGTCGTAACCTCAAAGTAATTTTATTTAAAATATTTGCAATTACAATTATTATTTTGCAATATGACATCTTAGTTAACTCTTATGACATTAGTCTCTGAAGATGGCCATGGGCCGAAACTAGTAAGACTTAATTAAATAAATAATAAAACCAATTTGAAAGGTACAATACTAAGAATATTAAATTTAATTACCTTCTCACGATACATGTTAGAGCAGTTAGAGCTTTGTAAATAGAATCTAATAGACTGCCTAAGTCTGACGTCACAGAGATGGGCGGAGCTTATACCGACTCCAAACAATTTCATTGCTAACCACAGTTGCTAACGATAAATCGCTATAAAAATATCATTTAAAATGTCATATTTATTTTAACATTAAGTTAAAAATTGCATAATCACAGTTACCAACGAAATTGTTTGGAGTCTGTATAAGCTCCGCCCATTTCTGTGACGTCAAGGCTTAGGTTGTCTATATGGGGAATACCCCGAGTTGTCTATATGATGTATAAATCAAGGACGGTAGTTCTAGTTTTAGTGGTTATTCAGCACTAGATTGCTGTGTATTTTTATTGAATTAAATATAGAACTAACACTAGACCTAGAACTAGAATCATTCGGGTTTAGCCGTTTTTAGAGACGTATGGCTAAACCCGATTGTTTCTAGTTCTAGGTCTAGTGTTAGTTCTGGTGACAGTGCTAGGTAGTGCTAGTTAGTATTATAAATGTATGTAGAATGATGAAAAACGTAGAATATAAATGTATGTAGACTACTGAACTAAAACTAGAACTAACACAAGACCTAGAACTAGAATCATTTGGATTTAGCCGTCTTGAGAGACGTGCGGCTAAACCCAAATGTTTCTAGTTGTCGGTTTAGTATTAGTTCTAGTTTTACACTATCACTAAAACTAACACAAGACCTAGAACTAGAATCATTCGGGATTAGCCGTCTTGAGAGACGTACGGCTAAATCCGAATGTTTCTAGTTTTCGTTCTAGTGTTAGTTCTAGTTTTACACTAGCACTATCACTAGAACTAACACAAGACCTAGAACTAGAATCATTCAGGTTTAGCCGACGTATGGCTAAACCCGAATGTTTCTCGAGTTAGTATTATAAAGCACTAGGTTGACGTATATTTCTACTGAACTAAAACTAGAACTAACACTAAACCTAGAACCTGAAACTTTCTAGTTCTAGGTCTAGTGTTCTAGTTTTAATTGTTACTCAGGGCTAGATTGTTGAATACTTTTATTGTACTAAAATTAGAACTAACACTGATCCTAGAATTAGAAACTTTCGGGTTTAGCCATCTTAAATTCTATATAGAATATTGACCGGTACACTACTTCAGGGCTGTTTCAGGGATTTACTGACTTCTCTGACTCTCTCATTTTAATATTTAAATCAAATAGAGCCTCAAATGATTAGTAGAATCCACGTTTCATTTTTGTATTCATTTAAATTTTTATACTATTAAGTAAAAAAACAGATGATTATTTCTTTCTCCGTGATTATACAGGTGTCCCAGACCACCCGTACCAGCCGATTTAGTCGGAAACGGTGAGTCCTAGAGAGTTGAAATAAAAAATTCGTCAACTAAAGCAGACACCCTCCTTCTAGATAGTGTGTTACGACCGACCAACAACAACCGGAAGTGGGTGCAATTGAGTAGTACTTTAATATTTTATATGTAAAGAGGGGTCAATTACGATATCATCGTAAAGAACTCTTCAATAGAAATCTCTTTTGCTTGAAAAAAATTTTTATATTGCTAATCGTTTTCGAAATAATCCACCCTAATTGTTGGTACTTTTTACCGGTGTTATTTAAGTTGACAAATAGATGTCGCTATTCGTCGTTTTGAAAAATCGTGTAATTTAGAAATGGCTGGTTAATAACAAGAAATTGTTTTTACTAACAAAATGAATAAAATAACAAGGAGTTTTTTTTACCACAGAAGAATATTACAAAACACTAAATAATAAAACTTAATAAATTAAAGTAAAAATACCAGTTCTTATTAAACAAATGAATAAAATAACTATGGAAAGGAATTATTTGGACGACAAAACGACACAAAACGCTCAATCTAATAAAAAATTAACAAAATCAAGATAATAAAGATTATAAATGTTCAAATTGTCTACCATTTTGAGCAACACATTTTTCAAGCCGGAGCCTTACACTATCTACCGCATTTAAAATTTCTCTTGCACTTAAATTCTGACACGCTTCTTGAATTCTGTTCTTCATTTCTTCCTTTGTTGTTGGTCGATGTTTATAAACTAAATTCTTAAGTCGACCCCAAAGATAGAAATCAAGAGGGGTCAAATCGGGTGATCGTGCTGGCCACGCCACACAACCTCCTCTTCCAATCCATCGCCCAGGGAATTTTTGGTCACAAATCGCACGAGATACCGCAGCATAATGTGCTGGGCAGCCATCTTGTTGTAGCCACAATCTCCTCCTTATTGCTAGTGGAATGTCACCCAACAAATCATGCTGCAATGTGCCAGCAAGAAATTCCGCATACCTGCGACCATTGAGAGTGCCATCAAAATAAAAGGGCCCAATTATGGTGTCGCCCAAAATCCCGCACCACACATTTAGAGACCACAGATTTTGATTGTTCATTTCAACCATCCAATGGGGGTTAACTTCTGACCAGTAGTGGGCATTGTGCAGGTTTAACTGCCCATTACTTTTAAATGTCGCTTCATCTGTCCAAAGGATATTCCGATGAAAAAATTGAGTTTGGCCTAATAACCAATTACAAAATTGTAATCGGTTATTAAAATCTTGATCTCTTAATTCTTGGCAAAGATTTACATGATAAGCGTAAAATTTATTTTCTTTTAATATCCGTTGGACTGAGCTCTTGGTGATATCGAATTCCCTTGCCATATCACGGACGGATAAATGAGGGTATAACTCAACACCGGCTATTACCTCCGCTGTTCGATTGTCTTGCACGGTTCTTTTTATTCTGTGTCTGATGTTGTGATTAGGACGAACTACCCCAAATCGCTTAACTCTACAAGCAAGACGACTGAAGACATGACGACTTTGCTGTGGTCGGTAAGGAAAGCGCTCGGCATACAATCTTTCGGCAGCCCGAAAATTTTGTCTGCATTCCCCCAATAACATCAACATGTCATACGCTTCTTCATTGTTGAAAGGCATGTTGATGTTTAAATAAAATTCTAATTAGTTGTTCAAGATAAATACGAAGAATTGATAACTGCTAGTTTCACAAAGTTGACGTTCTGTCAATAACAATTAAATAATTTTATTTTTTTTTTATAATTTTTAATTTATTAAGTTTTATTATTTAGTGTTTTGTAATATTCTTCTGTGGTAAAAAAAACTCCTTGTTATTTTATTCATTTTGTTAGTAAAAACAATTTCTTGTTATTAACCAGCCATTTCTAAATTACACGATTTTTCAAAACGACGAATAGCGACATCTATTTGTCAACTTAAATAACACCGGTAAAAAGTACCAACAATTAGGGTTTATTATTTCGAAAACGATTAGCAATATAAAAATTTTTTTCAAGCGAAAGAGATTTCTATTGAAGAGTTCTTTACGATGATATCGTAATTGACCCCTCTTTACATATAAAATATTAAAGTACTACTCAATTGCACCCACTTCCGGATGTTGTTGGTCGGTCGTAACACACTATCTAGAAGGAGGGTGTCTGCTTTAGTTGACGAATTTTTTATTTCAACTCTCTAGGACTCACCGTTTCCGAATAAATTGGCTGGTACGGGTGGTCTGGGACACCCTGTATAGAGAATGGTCAGTCAAAATACATATTTGAAAGAAAACATTTAGAAAACATTATTATGTTGATCATAAAACTGGTTAACCTACTTCTTCTGTCCTTTGTTAACTCGCCTGCTTTTGAGAATACTCTTTCAGATGGCACTGATGTTGCTGGTACGCAGAGGTACTTATTTAAAAATTTATACAGTTTCGACAACATCTCCTTCTTGGACTCTCATATCTGTAAAGAATTCAGTTTCTTATCTACCAATGGTAGGTCTAGGTACTGCTTTATTTGTGCTTCAGGAGAATGTGTCTGTGTGGACGCGCTGAATATCTGCTTAGCCTGATAATCTGGAGTTTCTAGATGCTGAATGGTAGCAATAATCAAATCTTCTGCTACTTCTGTAATCAATTTAAGGGCTTGATTACCAGTTCATTTAATTTGGGGTTCAATAATGTCTAATACGAGGAAGGGAGTGTGCGTTATAGCCAAAAGTTCATTATTTGAAGAATTTCTAACACTATACTCTATTACTATACTAGATTGGAAAAACAAAAGAGTCTGAACACTAGAAAGACTTTTTAGCTTCATTCCTGTCTTTGTAGTTTTTGCTTAGCCTCTTTCTTCTATTACCAGTCTTTTTCATATCTTTCCGGTCTCTGCTGACTCTTCCTCTTGTTTGCCCAGTGTCCTTTTTTTATTTGCAGTCTCTGTTCAGTACCTTTCTTATATTTGCAGTCTCTATTCAGTCTCTTTCTTCTATTTTCAGTCATTCTCACATTCAATTGACTTTAAATTACTCCAAGATGTTCAAAATCACTAATATTTGTTTGAAAATCATTGGGTACTTGTCTAAATGCTCAAAAACTTATGCTAAGTTATATAAAGTTGTTCAGATTCATTAAAAATGTATCTAAATGATTAAGAACTGATTTTAAGTTATTCCAAGATGTTCAAAATTATTGAAGGTTGGATGGCACTCATTGGATATTTGGTTAAACGCTCAAAAATCATTATGGAAAGGGGGTTTATAATCATTCAAAGCTTGTCTAAATGATTAGAAAGTAGCTCATAGATATTTCAAGTTGTTCATAATAATTAAAAACTTGATACTAATTACTGAAAGTTTGTCTAAATCATTGGGTGCTAGTTTATAGCTATTCCAAGTTGTTCAAAATCATGGAAATATGATCACTAAGCATTGGAAAGTTGTCTAAATGATTGAGAACAGGTTCATAACTACTCCAGGTTGTTAAAAATCTAAGAGAGCTCATTAGTAATCATTGGAAACTTGTCTAAATAATAAAGAATCGAGATTTTCCTATAATTTAATATTTATTTATTTATTTATAGTTATGGTGGTGGTACACACCCTTGGAATCGATCCATGGGAGCTTCAGAACCTAGCACCGAAGACGGATTAATTGAAGTCGTCGGATTAACCACTTACCAACTTGTGAGTAAGTTAGAATTAACACAAAAATTTCGTGGTTGTGCTTTGTTTATGTTGTTATAATTTGTGTTATTAATTGTTATTAACAAAAAAACACGTAAAATGTGTATTTAACTTTTTCAATAATCTTACAAATCTTTTTTAGCCACTTTTACAAGCTGGCGGTCATGGTACGTGCATAACGCAATGCCGTACTGCGAAAATTATCACCTCAAAAACGATCCCGATGCAAGTTGATGGCGAAGCGTGCAAATTAAACCCGTCAATAATAACGTTATCGCTCCTAAACAAAGCGACCATGTTGGCGAAACGAAAAGGAACGAAAACCGCCTCAGGGCCTTGTGTTCCTCTTGATAACGTTCACGTAACTTTACACCGAATTTTAATGTCGGATTACGAACAACATCATTATGATAAGGAATTGTTAACGCAAGCTGCAATGACGATTGGATCATTAGAAGTCGATCCATCATCCGATTTAGAACAAGTCAGGAATCAAATTAATAAATTTTTAGAAGATCAACCATGTCCGATTGCTGATTGGTGTTTCGTCGATTCTTGTACAGCTGAACGTTTCTTTCGGATCGATCGCGCTCAAGAAAATATTCATTTTATTTCGGATATAGCTTATGATAATCTATATATTTTGGAATGTACAACGGTTTCAGTACCACAAACACCAGAAGATGAAACGGCGGTTCCTTCGCCAGCTCATTGCGGTGTTATACCGGAAATGAGAATAAGGTAAGTATTTGGAGGTTAATTTAAGACACACCGTGTTTGAGCTTAAAACCGCGATAATTTAAACACAGTGGAAATGTGTTGTTATAAGTGTTTATGGAAGGTTTTAATTGGTATCGCAGTGACGAGGGAAGTTTGGATTCGCCGAGCGATCAACCACCTTTATCTCCAAAGATACAATCACCAGAAGAGAATAAGGATGAAGAAGGAAAAGATGATGGAAATGAAGATGGTGGGAATGTGGAAAAAAACGGAAACGTTTCGGATCAAACGCTTAAGCTTAGAAGGTATTTTCAAGTGGTGAACGCGGTGGCTTATTTTTATACCAAGCCACTAATCGAATTAAATTAAAATGATTTAGAAAAATGGGAGGGGGGAATCATCTAGCAAAAAAAAACTGTGATCAATTTTATTTTTCTTTTTAATCACTCTGTACAGTTTTTTTATTTATTAAGAGTTTTTTCCTTTTTCTTTTTTGAATAAAGTTATTAAGATGTTAATTTAACATTTTTCTTTTAACATTTATAAAAAATGTTCATGTTAAATTAACCTTTTTCTATTATTCAATTACACGCAGCATTGATGAGAGACTTTTTGGGTTTTCTCAGGATTCTTATAACGCCTTTAGGTATGAATTTGAATAAATTTATTTATATTATTAATCAAATTTAACAGTTTAAGGGAAAAACACACCGAATTGATGATCAAGGCTGCCAAAGTTGGTGAATTAAAAACCGTAAGTTATTACTACTTATTACATTAACCTTCGAGCGGGCGCGCTGTCGTAAAATTTATGACAATTTTCGTTTTTATAATATATCTCCTTATACAGGGCCGCTGATATGTATAGAAACGGTTAGTTATCTCCTAAAGTAAGATAACTAGTGAAAAATGTTGAGGTAAATTACAATAAATTAAACAAATTAAGTATACAGGATCAGTCAAAAAGTTATGACGAAACTAAACTACGTTTTCTTTAATGGAACACCCTGTATATTATTCTATATTTCAGTTCATCTCGAAATTTTAAACAAAATTCATGTAACACATCATAAACCTGAACTGAACCGTTTTTCAGATATCGAGCTTTTATAAATTTACGAATTTATCTAATTAGTGACGTAATTTATTTACGTTGCTATGGAGATTAGAAATTTTCAAAAGGTACCTTGATAAATTATGAACATAATCGACAAAAATATTTTTGTGTAATTTATAAGAGTAATATTCAAAGTTTAATATCTCGAAAACGGTTAAGTTTAGGTTTACAAATTTCGAGGTGATCCCAAATATGGTATAATATACAGGATGTTCTATTAAAGAAAACACAACTTGGTTTCGTCATAACTTTTTGACTGACCCTATATACTTAATTTGTCTTTATTGTAATAAATTTTAAAAAACACTAAAGCTTTTGTATTAAGATTTTTTGCTAGCTATCTTACTTCAGGAGATAACCGACCGTTTCCATACATATCAGCGACCTGTATTATGCATTTGAAAGCATTTAACGCTAAAGTAGTATTCATGTAACTATGTATTTTTTCATGATGAAAAAAAAAATATATTGACATTGTTTTTATGGCAAAAAAGTTATAAAAGACAAAAAATTTACACATTAATAGCTGATTTAAAGGCCGTATTTATATTATGGGATGTATTAAGAGATATAAATGTATTATAAACAAGTTTTGAGTCTAACATGAAGGTTTCGGATCATTTGCACATTTTTGGAAAATACAGGTCCGTAATGACAATTTTGTTGGAATCGAAATTTTTTTCACCTTTTCAATCTTTTCGGCTTTTCGTGAGTTTATGGAAATATTCATTATATTCAAAGGCTTAAGACGACTAAACTTGAATGATTCTAGTTCTAGGTCTAGTGTTAATTCTAGTTTTACACTGGCACTATCACTGGAACTAACACAAGACCTAGAACTAGAAACATTCGAATTTATGGAAAATATTTACATAAAACAGTCTGAACACAAGAAAGACTTTGAGCAGAAAGAAAAGAAACTTTTTAGTAATTTTGAACAACTTGACATAGATGTGGAGTATGTCTTTATTAATTAGACAAGTTTCCAATGATTATTAATGAACTCTCCTAAATTTTTAACAACCTGGAGTAGTTATGAACCCGTTCTCAATCATTTAGACAACTTTCCAATGCTTACTAATCAGATTTCCAGGATTTTGAACAACTTGGAATAGCTATAAACTTGCACCCAATGATTTAGACAAACTTTCAGTAATTAGTATCAAGTTTTTAATTATTATGAACAACTTGAAATACCTAAATACCTTGTCTAAATCATTTAGACAAGCTTTGAATGATTATATTATTCCATAATGATTTTTGAGCGTTTAAACAAATATCCAATGAGTGCCAACCAACCTTCAATAATTTTGAACATTTTGGAATAACTTAAAATCAGTTCTTTATCATTTAGATACATTTTTAATGAGTCTGAACAATTTTATATAACATACAACCCGTTTTTGAGCATTTAGACAAGTACCTAACAATTTCCAAACAAGTTTTAGTAATTTTGACCATCTTGGAGTAACTTAAAGTCTGTTGAATGTGAGAATGACTGAAAATAGGAGAAAGAGACTGAATAGAGACTGCAAACATAAGAAAGATACTGAACAGAGACTGCAAATGCAAAAAGGACACTGTGCAAAAAGGAGGAAGATTCAGCAGGGATCGGAAAAATATGAAAGAATCTGGTAATAGAAGAAAGAGGCAGAACAAAAACTAGAAAGACAGGATGAAAGCTGGAAGGAATGAATGGAGATTGAGTAAAGACTGGAATGACATGAGAGCAACTGGTAATAGCAAAAAAACGAGTTGTTTTGAAGATTTAACGATATGCCGCGACAAACTACAAAGAGATCCATCGTCTGGGACCATTTTGAACGAAGAAGAGATGTCTCAGTATGTAGTAAAGTGAACGAGAATTTAAATTATATGGCAATACTAGTAATTTAAGTCAACACCTTACTATTACAACAATTGTTTAATATAAATGAAATATTTTTATTCTACCAAATGTGTATTTTAACCGTTTTATTAAAAATAACGTAATATTTATTAATACGGACCTGATGTCATAAAATTTATGACACGCGCTCGCTCGAAGGTTAACTAATTAATAATCTAATTTAATTTTTTTTGTATTTTTTAGTTGAAAGATTTATCAACTCAAGGTTATTCGTTATTAACGAAAGATTCAACGGGACAAACCGTTCTTCATTACGCAGCTCGTTACGGCCATAAAGAAATCGTGAAATACGTTTTGGAAACGGCGCCATCTACAATTTTGGACGTTAAAGATTTAACGACCGGACAAACGGCTCTACATAAAGCCGCGGCGTATAGATGGCGCACGATTTGTTGTATGTTGGTGGCCGCGGGCGCTGGTTTAAATATTCCTGACAATCGGGGTTTATCTCCGAGACTTTTAGCTCTTCAAGCGGATGATCACGAACTTGCAAACTACCTCGAAAGTAAGTTAATTAATAACGTTAATGTGTATCTAGGGATCGATATTTCGGTAAATATTCAAGTATTTCTAACCTTACGTTGCCATGGAGATTTCATGGTGACAATAAATATTAATTCCTAAATAGGTGGCGTCATTTTTATGAAAAACGTCAAGGATAGAATTTAACAGAATTGCTACATCCATTGTTGTGACAATGTGCTCGCACACAACGTCACACCATTTGCCACGCCCAGTCAGCTGTTATTGTGTTTTATGCGTTTGCTGTATTTTTTAGACGTATTAATGTCTATCATATAACCTCTAAAAGCACTAGAACTCAATGACAGTTAACTAGGGGCGTGGCAAATAGCGTGACGTACAGTGCGGGCAACCAACCCATAGTGGGCTATACTCTGTTTTTAAACCAGGAGGAGTAAACGCGAAAGTCAGAAAATCACCAGAAAATATCACTAGATATTTTGGCGGTAAATTTAAATTAATAATTATTATTTATTTATTTACTTATTATTGTATTTATTTTCGTTTGTTATCGTCAACACTAAACATACAAATTAACATTGAAGTTATGAGTGTATTTATTTCAAAATATAATAAAAAAGGGTTTAAGAACACAAAATATACAATAATGACACGAAACTGTCGAATT